TATGTACCATAGTTTGTTTATCCATTCATCTGCTAATGGGCTTCTAGGTTGTTTCCATCTTTTTGCTATTGTGAATAATGCTGACATGAACATGGGTGTGCATATGTCTATTCGTGTGACGGCTCTTATTTCTCTAGGATGTATTCCTAGGAGTGGGATTGCTGGATCGTATGGTGTTTCTATTTCTAGCTTTCTAAGGAAGCGCCATATCATTTTCCAAAATGGTTGTATCATTTAGCATTCCCACCAGCAGTGCATAAGAGTTCCGGTCTCCCCACAGCCTCTCCAACATTTGTAAAAACAAATCTTTTTGATTTAAGTGCATAGTCAGTAAGTTATTGTCAATAAGCTATAAGTCAAATAATTAGATTTTTTAAATTGTATTTTTGTACTAAAGGCTCTCAGTCTTCTAGTATACATTACATCTTGCTATTGTTGCTTGTTTCAGTTAAAGGAAGCATATCACTGAGCTTGATTAATAACGGTGCTGTGTAGGAAGACACTACCTAAGAATCTACGTTCTTATGTATTGTCCACATTGTGAAATATGTGTATAAAACCAGAACCAGTTGCCATAGAATTGAGTCTGACTCACGGCTACCTGATGTGTGCCAGAGTAGAACTGTGCTCTATAGGGTTTTCAGTGGCTGATTTTTCAGAAGTAGGTCATTAGGCCTTTCTTCCAAGGTGCCTCTGGGTGTACTCGAACCTCCATTCTTTCAGTTAGCAACCAAGTTCATTAACTGCATCACCCAGGGACACCGAATTATATGTATAGAGTCTGGAAATTCAGTCTCTATGGGCAGCAGCATTTTGAGGCAGGTCGTATCCCATTGTGTTTTATGGCAGACCCGATTTCTTGCCATCTCAGGACCTTAGGGCCTCTGATGAACTATAAATCCTTAAAGTCACTACCATGCTCTGGGCACTGCGCTTCACTGCCTGAGAAGGCATCATTATGTTTACTAGGGTTTATGAAGTTTATCCGAAGTTTTTGGCTATCTGCAACAATGTCTCCCTCCTCTAACAGAGTTCACACAGAGTGTTTAAACACCCTCTTTACAATATATCTGGTTTTGTAGAGGAGAATGCCACTGGGCAATCAGGTTAGATGAAATCGGCTTCCGGGACATTGTTTTAACTGAGTTGCTTTATAGGGCACATTATGTAAAATTCCATTCTACCCTTGTTTTCACTACATTCACTGTTGAAATTATAAGAGTGAAATTAATATCTCACAACAAAGCCAGTTGGTGCTATGTTAAGGAGGCACACAGCATCGAGTTTGTGTTTTATTCAGATGGGTGACATTTAAGAGACAGCCTTATTACGGAGAATGTAAAGTGTAATAAACTTATTTCTTTTCCTTGTGACTCAGTTTGCTCATGTGTTTGTACTTCAGAGCTTATTCATAGCTAACTTCTAGCTGCTCTCAATTAGCATGATAAAAGAAATGGGACTCCTCTACTCAGTGTTCTTATAGTACATTTTCTTTTAGATTTTCAGTGAATTCTATTAGAGGTAAGGTGGATAAGATGGTCCACTAGTTTGGAATTTTGTGCAGAGACTAAAACTGGCTCTGAGATGTGAGTGGTGAATAAGAAAGTAACAATGAAATTTCCAGTATTTAGAAAAAATTAAGACATTCTTTTTAACAACAGCGGAGTGAAACAGCCTGGGAGTACGAATTTATTTCACAAAGAGACAGAAATCTTAATACCTTGTATTTTTGTAAAGTGAAAACGTTACTTTTATTTTGTATCTATCTGTTTATTTTGGAGCCCTGGTGGTGTAGTGATTAAGAGCTACCGCTGCTAATCAAAAGGTCAGCAGTTCAAATCCACCAGGCGCTCCTTGGAAACCCTAGGGGGCACTTCTACTCTGTCCTATAGGGTCGCTCCAAGTCGGAATCAACTCAACAGCAATGGGTTTGGTTTTTTTTGTTTATCTATTTATTTATTTTGTATTTTTCTTAAAGTGAAAAATTTTTGTAGAGTATAATATACTATCATTTAATTAATTACTCAGATGGACCTGAAGAAAATTTCAGGGAAAAGGAATTAAAGCTAATAATGCATTTTAGAAAAACATAAAAGGGAACACAAATGCTTCATTGCAAATCTCCTAGGAGTCCAATATTTAAAAAAAAAAAAAAAGGAGTAAACATAGTTCAGACAAAAGTCATCAAGGAGTCATGAAAGCATTATCATTCAAAATAAGGAAACTTGTCTTAGGAACTACCTAAAGACAATAAGAAAAATGAGTTTCCATCTTTACAACCAAAGAATCCTGATTCCATTTGCTCGATACAACTATAAACTTACTTTAAAAAGGTAATTGCATTTGGGAGAGAAATTGAAGATCAGTTGAGGAAAAGATTGTTATATTTATTTTTTCTAATAAACACATTTGATTCAATGTTGACTTATTCTTCGAAAAATCAGTTTAAATTTGTTCCAGTAAGAACTGTTTTTAAAGTTAGCAATGGTGAGTATAGTCCCTCCCATGCTTTGATTCTCTCCGCCTTCCATCTCATCTATATGACCCTACTGCTTTTAAGGACTTACATGATTTGATTGACCCCACTAGATAGTCCAGGACAATCTCCTCATCTCTGGGCCCTTAACTTTAATCACATCTGCAAAGTCCCTTTTGTGACGTAAGGTAACATTCATAGATTCTGAGGACTGAGATGTGGACATCTTTAGGGGGCTATTTTCTGTGCCTACCACATCTTCTAGTTATAACATTTTCTTATTTTATGGAAACTAATACCAAACAAAAGTAGTGAAGATTTGGAGAGGCAACACCTAGGTTTCCCATGTTTAGAAACAACCTTTAAATTAGCTCATACCTGTAGTAAAAGTTCTTACCTGAGCAGGAGGGTGAGATCATAATCATATAGATGCTTCTACACACTTGAAGATCCTCCTCTTCCTGGGAGTATTCTAGTAGTCTAGAAACAGCTGGGCAAAGGTAGAGATGGGCGTTCTGGCTAATGAGGAGTGGGCTCAGTATTAGATCTTCAGGTTTTTCAGAAATGGCTTACAACCTACTTGTATACTTTCTAGTCTGGCCTCCGATCTCCACGTTGCAGAATCAAGCTGATTATGTTTCAGATTGGTTATTCCTCACCAAAATTCGGGTGGTGGTCTACAGCAACATTGCTTCCTGGTCATATTCAAAGTTGACCGAGTCTTAAGATTTGTCTCAGACCTTGGATTCCTCCTTACTCTTCAGCTCTACAACCAAGACCCACCCTCTGTATTGAGCTGGGTATAACCTGGTGGTAGGAAGAAGCAGTACTGTTTAGATCATCACCCCAATTTTGGTGGAAGATAAAACCTGTTGCAGTCAAGTAGATTCCGAGGATAACTGATCTGAAATACAATCAGCTTGATTCTCTAACCTGGATGCCAGATGTCAGATTTTCTAAACTCATGGAAGAAACAGATACATCTGGGATGAGAAAATATGAACCCTCAGACCTGGGAATCTCTTAACTGCTGCACTCATGAA